AGCGCTTTGATGGAGAAACTGTCATCTCAAACGCTTATGTACAGATGTGAATTACTGGGAATAACCCTGAGTAGTGCTTTGAATGGTCTTGTTTATCATAAGGTAGGTACATTTGCTTCTGTGAATTGTAGAGGACGTGATAATTTAGTCGAGAAGCGAAGGTCTGAATAGAATCATTGTTTTCGTAAAAACGCACACAACACCACTGAGGATTAGCCCTTACTACGAGCCAGTTTTTGTTTGGTTTGATAACGACCAAAAGAAAAAGGCAAATTCCATTCCAAAAATAAACATAACACGATGAACAACTTCATGCTGATGAGTGAAAGTCGAAATTCAGTCCGAAGTAGCCAAAACTTGAAATTCAATAACCGTGCTCCAGTTTTTACTAGAAAGAAATCGTTCCTCTTTTCCAGACACTTTTACTCAGCAAAGACGGATTGTTCCAGTACACAACAGGTAAAGTGGTTGACCTGGTTTCAAACGATGTTCAGCGATTGGAAGGAGAGACTATCAAGTGGATCTTTTTTGGTTTCTTTACATTAATTGAGCTCCTCTTTATCCCGTTTTTAATGGTGTATTTCATTGGCTGGCAGTCTCTCATGGGAGTACTTTTTTTGTATCTTCTCCTTCCGTATTTCGTCTTACTATCCAAAGGGGGTGCTGTTCTACGCTTGCGTACAGCAGCGGTCTCTGACCAACGCATCTCTCTAATGAATCAGGTTGTTTTAGGGATACGCGCTATCAAAATGCATGCGTGGGAAGATGAATACCGGCAACAAATCAAGAAATCACGAAGGTATTTAAAGATATTATGAAACTGATAGTTGTGTGTTAAACCCAAGTTTCATGCAGGCTGTTTAATGCGCTCTTAAATGAAGTAATGTTATTCTTGTTCTTACTCGATCCCAATTTTACTTTTGGCCGAATGCAACCAAGCCTATTTCTTATTTAACAGCCCATCATTTCCATATTTCGTGCGAAATGAGTTATTATGCATGATCTTAGTTATTTTAGATGACACACATTCCATATATATATTGAACCAATAAGATCGCCAAGAACACCAAGACCATTAGTTATGTATGTCGTAGACCAAACCGTTGTCAAAATATCCCATTTTTACTTCTCTCTTTTTCCAGAGATGAAATTACCATTATTCGAAAGATGTGCGCACTTCGCGCGGGTGTTTTGGCCCTAAGATTCACTTCAATCACCATTGCAACACTGTTCTCAGTCATAACCCTTGTGCTGACCGAAGAGACTCTGACACCATTCAACGTTTTTGTGTTGATTTCATTCAACAACATGCTCGGCACTTACTTTGGGTTTGCCTTACTAGAGGGATACGAAGCTTATGCCTCGCTTGCTAGACTTCAAGAATTTCTCCTTTTGAAGAATTTGCGAGTCACTTCAAGCGATCGTTCAAGCAAAAAAGAAACAGAAATTGAAGATGAAAACCCATCTGAGATGAAGAGGAGTTCAGAAGATTCCCAAAAAACAGTGGGAGGTGCTTCCACTGCTGATGAATTACAAGATCAAAAGACATTACGAGTAAGAAATTTGGCGCACAAGCAAATGGATCGGGAAGACTCCTACACTCTTCAAGATATCGAGTTTTGCACATCTGGAAATAGTTTAACAGTCATTACCGGGTCAGTTGGTAGTGGGAAATCCACTCTTCTTTCTGTGATCGCTGGTGAAGTTCTATGCACACACGGAGAAGTATCCTGCCGAGGAACTTTAGCGTATGTTCCGCAGACGGCTTGGGTATTTTCTGGAACCATACGAGACAACATTTTGTTTGGTTTGCCATACGATGATTCAAAATACATTAGAGTAATTGAGGCCTGCGCTCTGACTGATGACATCCAGCAGTTTCCTGATACTGATCAAACACTTGTCGGCCAACGCGGTGTCGTTTTAAGTGGAGGCCAGCGGGCAAGGATTAGTCTAGCACGCGCAGTGTACGCTAATGCAGATGTGTATCTTTTGGACGATCCTCTGAGCGCCGTGGACTTAAGGGTTGGACAACATATATTTGAAAAGTGTATCAAACAACTATTACGAAATAAAACTCGGATGATGACCTCTCATCACGAAGACCACATGAAAGACGCTGATGAAGTGATTGTGTTGTGTAAGGGGCGTGTGCTGGAAAAAGGAAGTTTTCTTGAGTTGCAAGACAAAGGAATCCTTAGTAACACTATTGACCCGCTCTACAAGAAGATTTCAAAACACAATACAGATGAGAAGTTTGTAAGAGAGGAAGAAAATGAAAGTGTTGGAGCTGCTGTCTGGTTCGCTGGGATGGAATCTCCGTCGAAAGAAACCAGGAGTCTTCTGATGCCACAAGAAGATCGGGAAATCGGAGTAATTTCTTCCAAGCTTTACTGGAGCTATTTAAGAAGCGGAATGTCTTATTGGATGATTTTGGCAATAATCCTTTTTTCCGTAACAGCCCAGGGTAAGACTAAAAAACAGCCTCTCAGAAAGAGCTTGCCATGATTGCACAAATTTCATTTTAGAGTCCAAAGTAATCCAAGACTGCATTGCATTTACAGCATGCTTTACTTCTCTCTGTAATTAGAGGGTGTAAATGGGGTTAACTGTTAGCCGTAAAACGGCCAAAAAAGGCTGTATAGGCGAAATACTTGACAAATTTGAGCTTTTAGAGATAAAAATCTTTCCTTTTTCCAATGTGTCATCTTGTGTCATGTTGCCGTAAAATTCTAACTATTGACCGTAGAGGCCCAATCCCATGGAGACCCTCTAATTATTAGAGAAAAATATTTCTGGTCTCTAAATGAAAAAGCTGTGCAAGTGGGCAGAGGTCTTTTATATTTATCCCATCGTGGAAATTTCAACATTCCCATCTGATATTGACCTACCAACAAGGATAAAAAAAATATTGAATTTGTTCCGATTTGAAATAAATTGAATGCAAAAATTGTTTCGTCATATATTAAAGTTCACACGGCAACCAGGTGGACAATCAGACATAGTTTGATGC